CTTATAAAAGCATAATAAATATTAAAAAGTAAAAAAAAAAAATTAAATACTCAATTTAAAAATTATTTTCATATAACCCTTTAAACTTTTTTAATTCTAAATTTTAAAGAAATGGTTAACAAATACAATTTTGTTTCGTTTTGTAATAAAAAAAAAACAAGAAAAAGAAAAAGTTTATGTAACACCACTTTCTTTTTCTTTATTAAAAAAGCGAAAACAAGAAACATGGAAATAAAAATATTACCATCCKAAATATTCCTAGTCAATAAGAGAGCCTTTTAAAATTTCAAGTATTTAAGTTTTTCTCAATGAAAATTTTATCTCAAGTTTTTTTTTTCGTGTTTGCAATTGGTTTGAAATTTCAAGTTTAATATTCCATTTCAGTACTATATAATAGAAATTCGAACTCACAATCTATTGGTCGGAGATAAATACCTTAACTAGTTAAGTTATATTTAGGTTGAAGAGACATTATTAGAAGAGATTTATTGACTAGTAAGAACGAGTGTGTTTTTCAAAAGAATGATTATAATAAGTGAAAGAAGTTAACCTTCACTTTCTTCTTTTTCAAAGGAAATAAAGAGTAGTTTCTTTCAACTTCATAGAGTGTAGATTCAAATTTCCAATCTTTTGATTTGAGATATATGCTTATATGTGTGTTACTAAATTATTATTATTTTCTTTTTTTGCAAAGATAAATATATTAAACAAAAAACGGAGGATCTCATAGCCTGAGATAAGGCACAACACCCCAAGGACCAACAGAACAAGAATACATAAAGTAAATCAAGAAAATAAATCTCGAACCGAGATAAAACATAGGATCAAAACTCAAACAACAACTCCCAGATGATGTAATACAACAATAATAGACCTCAGCTTTCAAAGCAAGCAAGATGAGAGAAGGCGACCGACACACCGCACCCACCTGAACTCTAGCATTACTTAATTAACTTTTCGACACTAAAAAATTATTGAATAATATGAATTCAAAACAATCCAAATTGAATTTGTCCAAGTACTAATAATGTTGATCAATGTCTCACATCATATGAAGAATATTCCTTTCTAATAAAATTACAAAAATATAATACGTAGCATTTGAGACACCATAACTGCAAAGAATCCTAGTGGGTTTAACCTAATTCCACTATCTTTCTAAATGATTAATTGCTTTTCTCTTGGAAAAATGTCTACTTAATTAGACTTTGGTTCTAAATATTTAAAAACCTATATTTTAGTCTATTAAACTTTAAAAAATAAATATTACAGTGTTTGTTTATCTCAACTAAACCTATGTTGCTTTTATATTCTAATTAATATGTGGACGCTTAATGAGTTATATACATGTTTACAACTACGTATTATTTCATTTATAACAATTGATGTTAACTTAAAATCAAATATCAAAATAGTTATTTTTTAGTTTAAAAGTCAAAAATAAATAAACATAAAGTTTAAGAACTAACACCACCCCAAATAGTAATAATTTATGCATTTTAGCCAAAAATTGATCAAAGCACTCAAGTAGGCAATCAGATTCTTGTAATACTGCATATTAATACTCTAATGCCTAAGTCGGTTGTTAATCATTCTCAAATTTGAATCAATAATCAAATTCATGTGTACCTTATTTATAAGGATGAGAGAGTGGTTGCAACCGCTTAGAGATCGCACACGTTACCATACCACAGGATGGTCAATCTGTATCACATTCTTCAGGTATAGTTTTGTTTGATCGCAGATCGGCAGGTGATCCATCCTTTCGCCCCCTTTGCTCAGTCAGTCGTCTTGATCCGCCAGAGGGTCTTGAGCTAGCTTCCTTGAAGAGGCTTGATGGGAAAGAGAGGTAAAAGAACCTAAGGAAGGTACCTCACAAGCTCTTGGATTCCATGGCTAAGGCTTACTTTGGCAGATTTTAGGTGAGGGTGGACTCGGCACCAAATTCGCTTAGTGGTTAGTGGTGTAGTTGGACAGCTTTCATGTAAGACATGGAGTATTTGGCCAACCAAACTTTAGTTCGACCATTTAGCTTGTAATTCAGAGACACGCAATTTGCTACATGTCAGGTTCGGAATTCATCCTTCATCACCGTTCTTTCGACAATTATTTTTACAATAAAATAAATATACAAAATTAATTTTATGGCTAAATATGCGTAGGGTAACACTACGTCTAAAGTATTTAAATTTTTGCTTTTAACTTAAACTTTGAATTGATCGCTTCATTTCACAATTCACCCAAAGTGGTAAAAGAGATATTATTAGCGAAGAAAATTGTTAAACCTTATGAACATATGCATTCGAGAATAATTTATACCATTAATTTTAGAATGATATCAGTATCTATGGATCAAAGAAAATCAAAATCAAATTAGTAGAATTATAAATAACAAGATTTATGGAACAAACGTTTCTTATTTATTGTTTTCAAATGTTTTAAAAAATATAAGTATTTGGTAACTATTTTTTCTCATTTCTCATTTTAAATAATGTTTCCCGTAAAAATTTTGGAAAACAAAATCAAATTTCTCATTTTTTTTTGTTGTTGTTTACTTTTCCATCTTTTTTCTAAAACATGAATAAAAGCATAATAATATAATATAAAAAATCTGCTTTTTTAATTTAAAATATTAAGGGATAAAAAATAAGAAATTGTTACAAACATGTTCTATATTTTTCTCAATAACAAATAAACAATAAAAATAAGAAACAGTTAACAAATATAACACAATTTTTATTTATTATAAAAAAAGCAATAATAAATAAAAATGGAAATATTACTAAATGGGCATAATCTACCGAAACCACAATCAAATCTATATGAACAAAAAACCCAATTTCTTTCCTTATTTGAATAATTTAAATATAATATGTTATAATTTTTACCATTTTCCGTAATATTACGTCTGATTCTGATCTACACGAAGCTCAAAAATGCAAAATTTTCCAATATCTACGTGTAGGTCTGTCCCTACTTTTATAAGCAAGATTCAAATGAGACATCATCAAAAACATAAAAAAGGATTACTTTTTTTTCTTTTTTTTTTTTATTTTTCCAAAGGAAAAAAGATGTTTTAATTTGCAAGCATTTAAGTAACATCTCTATTATTGAAAAATCCAATTTTTGTAAGGTACGTCCACATGTAGAATAAAGATATGTAATTAGAATTGTAATAAACTGTTGATTTAAATACTATTTTAGTAATATACTTCTAAACTGTGTAATTTTAAAATTTTCAATTTGATCTTTGTATCATTTTAGTTCATCTACTTTTAAAACAACTATTTTGATGTCATCTATTTTTAAAAAGTGAAATTACCTTCGTTCTAATCATTAATCACTACCTTAATTTTCACAGATTTGGGATTGACACAAATTCAACATTTTTTTCTTTGAAGTACAACACAAATTCAACCCTAGTTAATGTGTTGACAACTATAGTAAAGTTAGGTGAAGATTCCCTTTGATTGAGCAATTTTGATTGCACTTTTAAGGCTTGCTTGAGAGACAATTTTTAGATGGTCTAAACACTACTTCTATTCATAATGCCATTTTTAAGCTCAATTATATTCTACTAATATAATCCCATTATTTTGGAAAGACATTAATTGTACAGACAAGCTCTTTCTTAAAGAAAATTAAAACAACGATTTGTCTAAACAAGTAAAACCTTTTTTTTTTTTTAAATAATCTCTCAAACAAGTCGTCGTTTTTCTTAATACAATCGAACAACACAATTGTACGTAAATTAGCTCGTTTGGGATCATATCTTCTTAACTTAAATAGCACGCTTTCTCTTACTAACTTATCCACTTTCTCATACCAAGTTCTCCATATACATATTCTTCACTAATCTCTCTTCATGCACTCAAATATACCTATACTTTCTCACAATTTATTTATGCATATACTTTCTCTCTAATTAACTTATTTCTTTCTTTTTTTGTAATTTCTAATTAGATCAAAAGCATTTTGAAATATTAAAACCAAATAAATTGTTTCCTTCGAAGAACTTATAAATTTATGATTGAAAAGTAATTTTGATTAAAGTATCATGTGAGGGTGCCCAAAGAGCTAACTTACATGAAGAAATAAAAGTAAATCAAGAAAACAAATCTCAAATATAGGATCAGAACTCAAATAGCAACTCCCAAACCAGTACAACGATAATAGACTTTAGCTTTCAAGGCAACCGGCACACCCCACCCACTTGAACTCTAGCATTACGCTCCCTCCAGATCACTTTTAGATCAATTAAAAACTCTCTCAAACAAATCCTAATTTGTAATTAAATACTCTCAAAATTTATTCACAGAAAAACTTTTCAAAAAATAGGATGCATGATATTTTATTGATTCAAGCAAAAACAGAAAAACAAATCAACCAATCAAATTTGCAGAGATTTTAACTAATGCTAAAAAGCACTCCAYTGCATAGAATTGCACTACCTTCTTTCTGGAGATCGACAACAGGCACCCCATAATCTACCATATTACGCAGTAAAATCATGTTTATTATAATTACTTTACAATTTTTACCCCTCTCTCATTAATCGATGACCCATAATTTTTTTAATTAACTGTTTTATATTTTTATATTATATTTTTAATTTATACTGCTAATAAATTTTCTTCAAATAAAAATTTGTGTCCATTTTTATTAGTTATATGGTTTTATTGCGAAATACTATAAATTTATTATTTAATTTTGTTATTATTAATTACCTTTTTAGAATATAATTTATGAATAATAATTTTTAATAATATTTTATATTAAACCGACAGTTGTTGTAATTTTACTTTAATTATTCATTATTTATTAATATTAAATAAATTGTTATAATATAAAATATTTACTTTCAATAATATAATAATAAAATAAATTAAAATTTATTATTATTGTAATTAAGAAAAGATTAACACAATAATGTATTTATAATTAGTTTGAAAGAATAAAGAGGTATACTAATGTTATATATGTGATTCCAACAATTTTAGTAAACAAAGAATTCTGATTCCGTTTCTTAAATTTTCATTCCGATTCTTGGTAAGTAAAACAGGACTAACGTAAATATAACTTGAAAATTTATCGACATATTTAAGATTTTTTACTGTAGCTATTAAAGGGAAAAAGGCTTATTGACGCTTATTTCTGAGTTCCTAACTGGGAAGGAAAACCAACAACCCCCTCCAATACTAGTTTAATAACTAGATCTAGAGTCTGGAAGACATCCCCCCAGCCACCACTAGAGTTTCACCTGTGATATATGAAGCGTCGTCCGATGCCAGGAAGGCAGTGGCTGCAGCCATGTCTTCGGTCGTACCAAGCCGATTGAGTAAGGTCTTTGCCTCAACGCCCTTCTTCTGAATTTGGTTCAAATCCAAGTGTAGTAAGTAACAAACTTTGCTATTTAGTATTTACCAGTGCAATAAGAAAGCCAATCCATTGAAATGGGTTACTTACAATGGCATCATTAGACGTGAGGAAATCAGCAAAGTGCGTCGGTACGAAACCAGGGGCGACACAGTTTACACGAGTGTCGGGGGCCATCTCTGCTGCGAGAGCCTGAAGGAAATCAACAAAACAAGCAAAAGAAAAAATAAATATTTAATTTTCAGAAGTCCCAATAGTTGCAAAAAGCATGTAAACCCATTTTTTAACCTTAGTCAGTCCAAGAAGAGCTGTTTTTGTCACCCCATACATGGCCAACAAGGCAGAAGGCTGGTATCCTTCAATGGAGGAAATGAGAACAACTGAAGAGCCTTTCTGCAAGTGAGGAGCTACTTCCTGTACCAGAAATTAATGAAATTTTAAATATATGCACAAGTAGTGTTCATACTGAAGGGGGTAGTTCAAAAGATTTTTGAAGTTCACAAATAATCAAATCTCAAATCAGCATAATCTTTAATTCCAAAAAGCCCTGAATCATGAAATATTATGCATCAGTACAGTATAATACCTGCAAAAGTAGGACCGAAGCTTTAACATTTATGTCCCACAGCTTGTCAAGGACAGATTCTTGAGTTTTCAAAATGGAATCTACTGATGGATTGACAGCTGCATTTGATACAACTACATCTATTTTCCCATATTTCTGAAAGAAAACCATTGAAATTTAATTATTTGATGTAACAACCTTCAAGGATTGGTGGATAATTACAAGCTACAAGGTAACATGAATAAAGTCCTCACCTGATGGAACTCTCTAACGCTCTCTCCCTCTCTCTCTCTCTCTCTCTCTCTCTCATGTTTTAAAATCTCATAACCAACCTCATTGATATATGCAAAGGAAAGAGAAAACAGAAATAGTATGTATATCATTAACTCTGAGCTTGATATAACTCTATCCATGATTATCACCAAGAATACAAAGATCATAAAGAAAATCTGCCCATTTTTTGAGTTGTAGGAATGTGGAACTTGTTTGCCTTCAGAAACAAAAACATATGCATTTATAAGCTCGAATCTTCCAATAACATGATGGTTTTTAAAATAATGTTGAGTAATCATCTATTATAACCACTTCCAGTTCTCACTTAGTTCAGAAGAACTTAAAAAGAAGGAAGTAAATAGTCTCACCTGAATAGTCTTTTCTACAAGGTTCTTCCTTTGCTGTGCATTTGACACATGACAAACAACCCCGGACACTTCAAGTCCTCGAGCTTTGAGTTTTTCAACTGCCTCATCTACATTTTTCTACAATAACGCTAACTAGAGTTAAAAGGAGGTTGTGAAACATACAAATAAAACACGAAAGGTGAATTCCTTCTAGTAGGTAACGGAGGAACTCTGAATGAATAGAAAGAATATTTTTGGAAAAAATACTTTGAAACAACATAAAACACATCAAACTCAAATTTCTAGATAGAAGACCAGGTTTTTATTTCTTTTTCCACTCTTTTCTTTTTCTTTCTCCCTTTCTTTGTTCGTTTAAATGTTTCAGGGAAGGGTGGACTAGAGGCCAACTGGTATATGATTAAGAAAGAAAGTATGCATAACATTCATGAAATACTTTTTATAACACCTCTGATTTATTCTTCACACTGATAATGGGTAGAAAAATATTTACTGATGATGACCATTTAAGTATTCAAAATTTTATAAATTAGAACCAGTTATTTAAATTTCAACTTAATTATTCATCTACAATTAGCCAAGTTGATATTGAAGTGATAGTTATATAAGATTTTCTTTCTGGAGTCGATTCTTTTCTCTAATATATCCTCGTTGGACTAAATACTAATCCATACCAATATTCTCTTTTTCTTTTCTTTTCGACCCGGGCTTATAAGGTGGACTTTTAAGTGAAGATACAAGTATTGAATCATCTCAAATTTGACAGCAAAAAAAGATATAAATAAATAATCCAGTTTAGATTCTTTGAACTTTCAAACTTATTCCAGTTTCATCTGTATGTTTTGAGATGTTCTGTCTTTATATTTGAACTTTCACAAAATCTGTTTTCATCTCGGAAGGTGTGTATTTTAAAGCACAAATCCATGGCATGCCTTCACTACAGAAATTAAACGGCAACAGGCCAAATAAACAGTGATACAAAATTCAAGAGAAAAACATAACAATTGAGAAACAATGAGTTCGAGAATTGATCTGGATCTAATTTCAAGACATTCAATCCTGAAATCTCACAGTGACAAACCAGAAGCAAGAATCACACCGGAAATTGAAAACAGCAAAATCAAGCGATAATTTCAAATTTGTTGAGATTAAAACAAGAATTGGGGAACATCGATGAACCTGTCTGCGGGAAGATATAACAACGGAGGCACCTTCCACGGCGAGACGTTCGGCGATTTGGAAGCCGATACCCTGAGTTGAAGCAGTGACAATTGCCACCTTCCCCTGAAACCTTTTCCCGATCTTCGTATAATCCATTTCTCTCCGTTCAAGGAAATTTGGAGCAAGTTTTTCTGGTCAATTCACGAGTTTCTTCCCGGGAAGCGAGAGAGAATTTATTTTGGATTTCTTTTTTCCTTTTCTTTAGGACACCTGGAGGATGAATTTTTTCCTTTTTGGAAAAAGAGAGGATGAAATAGTTATTATTGATTAATATTAATATTAATAATTTTTGACGTATTTAAAATGATAAAATAGTTATTTATTAATTTAAATATATAATACGTATCCTCTATTTCTCATTCTCGTCCAAGACTCAAACCAAACTGTTTTGAACTGTTTTGATAAAATAGTTATTTATTAACCTTCGGCCAGGTATTCTCGACCCTTATCGAATCGAAACCAACCATCCACTCCACTTGAATAGTTGAGTGATCACCGACTAATAAGAAAAATAACTTTTGTCTTCTTCAATTAGAACAAATTCAATCGACCATAAACAAGTTCCAATGGCCGTTGATTGTAATCAATATGTATAACTACATTTAACATAACTCACTTATTGAACGAAATTATACTAAGGTTAGCTAATATTTTGTTAAATAACACCAAATTCAAAATTTTAAATACTTAGATCTTTACATGCGAACATTGAACTTACCACAAGGCCATCGTTATTCCTAATCCATACTCTCCTTAGGTTCTATCAACTTGGTTTTACAAATTCATTTGAACTAATAATTTATAAATATCAACATCACATAACAAGCCACCAATATCGACAAACTCTCAACGAAAATACAACTATTATCGCAAAAAGAATGCAACGATGAACCCACCATTGGCCTTTTTTAAAAAAAATAAAAAAAAAAAAAGACGAGAACTTTGAAGATTACATCAAAATGCCCAATCAAAATACACATACACTTGAGCATTAACTAAAAGTAAATAATGAAGAAAAGAACTTCCCAAAATTTGAATTCCAACATTCACTGCAACTACGAACATACTATGAACTATCATATCATTCTATATTTTTCACTCATAAGGATTTTTGAAGTTCTTCAGAAGTTCTGGGATGTCATAGCCAAGCATGTCATCCACAGCTTGAATCATTTTGGGCTTCAATTTCTCAAATTTATCAATACTGTACCCATTTAGTACCTCTCTAAAATGCTCCACATTTGGGAAGTCGCCCGCGGGTAGGTGGTACTCCCTTTGAACCTGTGATCCAAAGTTCGAGAAGGTTGACAATGAGCATAACTCGACCGGTCAAGACATTACTTACCTTAGGAAAAAAAGACATAGAGAGGAAGGAGAGAGAGGAGCTACCTTTCCAAACTCATCTTCAAGATTGTCAGTAAGCCGTTGTTGAGCTTTAGCTTTGCCCATCATCGCAGGCATCTCTTTTTTAAGGTGGCTGATAATGTAAGCATGAATCTTAGCCGCTCGGGCGCGTTTTACAAATTCATTAATCTGGGATGTGGAAACGAGAAACGAGTTCATTGTTTAGAACATAGTGATGGTAAATGCAAAAAGTGTCTTGATTCTTGCACATTACATACAAACACGTACCCGACGGTCGCACGCTTTCTTTGGGATATCAATCAAGTCTGTTAAGAGGTCATCTTGTTCCTTCACAAAGAGATCGCGACCGATTGGCCCAACTGAGGCTTCATTAACAGGCTTGTCGTTGAATGAACTGATAAAATCAGATATAACAAAATTACCAAGTCAAAACATACATAAATAATTTGTTTGATACATAAAAAGTAGACTTATGAATCAAAGACCTACCCAATATATACACGAACGACCTCTGGAGTATTCAACACTTTTCCAAGAGACCACATCAATGCTCCGTATACTCTCATTAACTAGAATGATGGAAAGTTGAAAAAGTACACATTATAATCCTCCACGAAAGGATACTACAAGGAAGAAAATAATCATATAGGTCTAACTCTTACTTGTTGAGTATCAACTTGATCTGCTTTATTGAGAACAACTCGGATCTTATCATCTTGACCACGAAGAGATCCGATTACACGCTTGAACTCGTCACTGATATCGAGTTTATGGGGATCAAACAGAAGAAGAATGAGATCGCATTTTGCTGCAAACCATGATATAACCCCTGTGAAATCATAGCTTCTCTGTGTGCGTTGCTTTTCCCCAGATAGAACTCCAGGAGTGTCCACAAATGTAATTTGATCGAGCAGCTGCAAGTATAGGTGAAAAAAGTTGGCTTCAGTATAGCAATTTGGCACAATGAAACTGCAAAACATTTAAGAGCAATAAATGAACTGATGGTATTAAATGTTTTTAACTAAGTTATCAAAAACTTCCAACTTACAGGATGTGGCATTTGGGAACATTCAAACTTTGACAAGAATGCTCCACCGAAGGATGTCAAACCAGAGAATGGCATGTCTGCATGAACGGCAATGGTGTTTCCTGGAACACTTCTCTCATCTGGTCCAGACTGAGTAAAAATTCACAATACAGCAATGGAACCATGAACATGTTAACATATGCCCCTTAAAAAGAATATATCATCCAGTTTAACTACATAGGGACTTGCAGTTCTTTCTTGTACGAATAATGCATCTGCCAGAAGAAATGGTATTTGGGCCTATCGACCGAAGTAGCTTTCGAGAAAACACATTTCACAGACAATGAGAAATAAAAGAACACTGAAAAAACTGCTCGTGCCAACTTTTCTCCATTTGAAAAATTATAGGAAACGCATTCAAAAAGGAGAAAAAAAAGCTACTAGGAGTGTACAATATGCAGTTAACGAACTACAATCCATATCTTTCCTTTGACAAAATATAAAGAGCAAAAAGATCATCTGCAGTGATTAGCAAGAACTATAACATTCAGATGCTGGAATGTTTCAAGCAAAAAATATTGCAAGTAAAGAACATGACCAAAGGTCAGAAATAAAAACTTCAAAAAGCAAGCTATCAGTTATAATGTATGAGTTCAAAATTAATATTAAACAACAAAAGAAAGGGCTTCTCTTACCATAACTACTACAAATCTATCAGTTGTTGGCTCCGGTCCTATGTGAGCTCCTGAGGGAAAAAAATTAAACAAATAAAAAACATGTAATAATTCAAAGTTAACATATGCCTATTAGTTATTACGAGAGCGAAAGAAGTAAACTCGACTCACCTGGATAATTACATCTTAACAAATGCTTAATAAATGTTGTCTTTCCAGTTGAATATTGGCCCAACAACATGACCATGGGCTTGGCATCAAAGTCACTGCTTGTCTGTGCAAGAAATTAGTCAAAAAATTGTTAAACGCATTGAAGTAACATTTTACAAAATGTTGGTAATCATGCAAGAATTTCTTCTTCCATCTCCATTAAAAAATTTAAGTGGACAAGAAAATTCACTATCTACTCACCAGCAGTGGGGACACAAAATCATTAAACCGATAAGTAGCTTCCAAAGGCTTTAGCTTTTCATTGTATAGTTTCTTCAAACCGTCAATTATTGATGTAACTGCAGTATGGGATAGCTGAACAAAAAATAATGCGGAAGAAAACATTACCAGAGAAGAATAGGTCAACACTTGCAATCACATTTAATTACTATGAAAAGTATAGATATGGAACAAATTGAAAAATAAAACTCATAAAAATAAGCAACAAGGGAAAAAAAAATACATTTATCAGAAAAGACCACATAATACCTTGCTCCCAGATTTTGAAGCAAACCATGGAGTTGATGACGGTGGCTGGGATTGAGGAGGTCCTATATTGGCAGGGTATCAATTAAAATCACAGACCATGGTGGCAATTATATTATAGAAATTCAAGAATTGGAAATTGTCTAACCATTGGTTTCAAGTTGGCTAGATGTTGCTAACCACTTGGACTTCTGGAAAGAGGGATCACAATGCGTTAATGTTTCATTATTTCAATGTAAAGTTCACCTTGTCAAACGAGTGACATTACTTACAACAACGTCCAAGCCTTCTAGAACTGGAAGTTTAATTTCCTCCATCGCAGCTGTATGTGAGAAAAAGGACGTCAATGTATGATGGACAGTAACCAAATATTGCCTTTTCGTTACAAGGTGTTATGTAAACACATGAGCACAATAATTGAATTCACTGGTTACGATATGAACCAGATTTCTTAAATTCACTTTTCTTCAAAACCTTTCACTAATAGTTTTCAAATAATCAAGTTCATCAATATGCAATAAAGTCAAGCAAGGAACCAAACATTAGAGGATGGATTAACTGGTCAGAAATAATTACTAGCTTTATATCACAATATTCCATCTTGTATTCTTTACCGTGAGAGCATTACCATTGCTACATTTCGAGGATCAGAGAAAGAGAGAATAAAAATAAATAAATAAACCTGAATATCACTGATATCAATACTGATATTCATAGAATTAAAAATTCTGGCATATGATATCTGGATTATTTGATGTCTTGAGCCAGACAAAAAATCATATTAAAAACAATATAGACTTGATAACACGGAAAATCAATCTATTACATTTCAAGAATAAGAGCCAAAGTATTTCAAACCATTAAAAGGGTAATCATTCAACTTGCCTGCTTCTTTGAGGATATCTGCATTCAAGTCAGACCCTGATTGAGCTAAAGAAATAAGCTGGTCGTCATCAAAACAATAATTAGAATTAGAAAGAACTCCATGTAGTGGTTAAAGTAATAAAATCAAAACAGAGAAGTATAATAGAACCTGCATGGCAGTAACAAACTGATTGAACCCTAAATATCCTTGTCGTTTGGAGTCTGCAATAGCCCAAACCTTTAAACAGGAAATGAAAATATCACTTTAGTTTCACTTGC